TCATTACTATAATTGAGAGTTAAATTAATGATCGATGTAATCTGTGATGTTATTATTTCAGCTTTAGTTTGTAATTGCATTTCAAGTCCTACAGTAAGAGTCGCGGATTTATATAACTGAAAGATGTATTTAAACATTTATTCACAACTATTATCAGGCACCACAAAATAATGTATAAATCTCAATTATATTTGGCCCTTCTTTATTAATTTGTTAAAAACTGATTTGTGCAGTGTCTGCAAGAATTGAAAAAGAGGAAATTCGTGAAGGTGACGAGATACAGAGACGTATCCTGCGAGATACTCGTACATCGTCAGAGTTCGAGGTTAACGAGTGTGCAACGTGACGAGTAGAATAATAAGGGCAGTTAATATTATACAATAGAATAGGCGTAACCGCTCTCCGGTGTTTATCTCCGGAATGCAGTGACAGTTCCATTTAGCCCCACCATCCAATCGGCATGGTGGAATTTTCAGAGGCAACTCACAAACATTTCCCGGCCTTGCGGTTGCGGCCTGTCCATGCGAACTGTTCGCGCGGGCAGACGCTGCAAGTTCGGGCGCATTTCTCATTCAAGAATACAGTGGATGCACGACGGTGATCCCGGCACGATAAACGCGCTTAATATCTTACGATTCAAGCCTCGCTGGCATCTCTAGCGATTAATGCATGTCGCTAATTACTTAACCCGTCGGTAACGAACCGCACAGAGTTCTCTTGCACATTCCTCCTGGGTGCTGCGGAGAGACGTCAGTTCGGTCGATCGACCGTAGTTATGCGATACAGAAACTAACTGCGCAAACGAGGTTTTTAGTTAAAACTGAATTAACTGCAGTTTGCGTCTAGTTAACAAAAATTTACATTTGGCCGATTAACTTAAGAGTCGCAATCGCACAGACCCTACCAACACAGCACACATTAGGTCTGTTTTTTGTGGCTGGTAGTGTACACTTTTGAAACTTAAAGTGAAATAGGTTTATGATGGATATTTGATGAAAACGAAAAAGAAAATTCTAATGCTATCTAATACAGGAATAAAAACGAACCTTTTATTTGAGAGATCTTTTATCTTAAAAAACGTGAAACATTCTCTGGACGTTTTTAGTACCTTGAAGATTTGTTGTACCGATCGCGTACGGACTTAACTAAATCTCTCTCTTTTGCAAACTTCAATCACGAACTTAGACATGTCCACACATTACATATTTTATCAAAAGGACATTCTGAAAACATTCTCAGAACATAGAATGTTCTATAGACGGTTTTACGCTTCCCTTGAAGGTTTGTGCTGTATGAACAGTCGCAATTTAGCTAAATACCTAAAATCTTCTACGAACTTAACTGTGGACCCAGACATTTTGCTCCTATCGAAATTCGGTTTTAATTGATTCGAATATTTACGGGATATGGCATTGATCACTCACGCCTCAAGATACTAATACGATGACACGCTGCATACATACTATATTGATACATTCTGACACATGTGAGAGTGCGATTGTATTGCAGATTCCGCGCATTGATTACGCCGTTATGTCGTCCGCAAACGCCACATCACTGAATAACTCCTGAACTCCGTTCTCTGTGTGTTTACA